AGACAAATGGCTTCCACAGGTGGAAGCCATTTGTCTTCCACCTGTGACCTTCCTCCCAAGTCTGTTCTTTAGCTGTTCCCTTCGTCTGGCAACTCTGCGCATGCGCACACTGGGAACAGGCTCCAGCTGTTCTTCTGCCTCACTGATGTCCGACTCTGGAGGAAGCTGATAACTGTCAGACGGCCCTGGCCCCCTCTCTATCTCCGACACAGAGCCCTCATCCGAGCCTTCCCCAGACTCCAGGACTGGCCCAGGTTCCTCCCCAAACTCCTCAAGCAAGATTCATTTAACAAACATGTTACTTAGCAACTGCAGTGATTCCCTGAACCCCCAGGGCAGGAGAGGTCGTAAAATGGGTCGCACAACTCGCTTAAGAAACATCTCGCTTAAGAACCAAAATTTTGGGCTCAACTGTGGTGGGATACTTGTGATGTGGCTTCTTGTGAGTCTATTTGTGAGAAAGAGGGCCAGAATCTCCTTAAGTGGCTGACATGTTGTTGTTGATTGAAGTGTTGTTGCTGTGCCATTCCTTTCGGATAAGGGACGTTGCTTTCGGTAATTGCTCTTTCCTTGTTTTATCCCGCGCAAGCCTTAGATTGAAGGATTCATAAAGGATTGGTAAGCATATTTTTTCCTCCCTTCCGAACCCCATTTTCAGTCCATATAGATTCTCATGTCTTTTCTTTCCCTCCTTTGGAATTTTAAACTTGTTCCTCCCCACTTCCGCAGCTAAGTCCTTGAATTAAAAAACAACAACAACCTGTATTTTTTAAAAAAGCACCGTATGCCCTGGCCTTAACCGTTCGCAGAATTCCCGGAGAGGCAAAGAAACCCATCTCGGTTGCAGCGGGAATTATCCTGAAGTCACTAGTTGGCAATTTTAAATCACACCTCAATTTTGGTGGACATTTCTACACCATGGGAAGTTCTGAGCTCAGAAAGAGGCGGTTTCTACAAGAAGCCCCTTGTTCTCTCAGCTGATCTTCGGAGCTACCAGTACGCCCGAACCAGCTGAATCCCACCTCCGATGCCCAAACATACAGAAGCACAGGCCTATTTTTCAAAACAACAACAACAACAAAGGGACAGACAACCACACCCCCAAACTTGTGAGAGCAGGGTAGCTATTGAAAAAGAATAGGATATTTTACTTGCGAGGGCCGAAAACAGCTGGAGGGTAGTCAACACTACAACACTGTTACAAGATCTCTTCCTCTGTAAACCTAATCTCCCCCAAACCTGGGATTTTGGAGCCCAGCAGGGACTCCCTATTTGCACAGGACCTTATCCCGACATTCAGTTTCCAAGGTGTCTCTTCTTCTGTCCTGCTAATGTGATTTGCTTTCATCCCTTCAAACCAAACATCAAAATCGTACACTCCCGCTTTGCTTCGCTTTCCCGCATGCTTCCGCATCCTCCTTTTTCATCCGCCGTCATCCCCCCGGCTCTGCTTCATCATCACCCCCAGTGACTTTTTCCGCGACTCCCATCGTCCAACGGGCAGGCAAATGCCAACCGCCTTCTTTGACCTCTGGGCCTAATCCCGCTCCCTCTCCTCTTCCTCGTCCACCCCGCCTCCCTTCCAGGAAGCAAAAGTAGCGGCTCGAACCGAAGCAACAGCGAGAACAGCCGGCGGCGGGAGAAGGACCGCAAGTCAGCAGGCGGCGGCAGCAGCAGCGGCGGGTCGGACCCAGCCACCTGGAGCAGGGGTGGGGGGAGCGTCCTGCGGCACGAGCGGCCCCCCAGCCAACTTAGCCACCGCAGCCACGTCTCGGCCACCCTCAGCGAGAGAAGTCCACGCAGCCACCACTCGTACGGCCCTCCGGGCGGGCTGCCTTCCCTGGGGCACTTCCCCAAGCTGGGAGGCAAACTCTACGCCATCAGCGGGCCCCCCGGAGGTCCCCCCGTGCGGGAACTTAGCTCCATCCCTCCCGAACTGACCGGGAGCCGCCAGTCCTTCCAGAAAGCCATGGGGAACCCGTGCGAATTCTTTGTGGACATCATGTGAACAGAAGTGCCTTCTTTCCGGAGTCCGTGCAGAAGGGTTTTTGTCCTATCAACAGACTGGGCCCAGGGCCCCCCTTTTTTTTGTTCAAAGCAACAGGGAAAGAGAGCGACGCCCCCCCACACCCTTCCCACTCACCCTGCCCCCCCTCCACCTTGACAGTCTTTTGCATGTCACACCCTTCTGACTCTTGATTGTGTTTTGCCAGCCAACGGAGGCAAAAGCGATTCCAGGATGTTAAATCCGCCAATCGGGCTATATTTTGTCCTTCCCCTCCTTTTTCTCCCTCTTCTTCCCTTCCGTTTTTTTTTCTGAATGTGATTGGCAGATGTTCTCTCCAGATTATCTCTCCAACGAGCTTTGTTATGCCTGGCACTTTTTTCTCAGTCCAATTTTACTCTTTTCTCCTTGGCTTAACCAAGGGATCGTCATTTTATATCCTAGTTTCAAACGAAACAACGAAAAAAAAAGAGGAAACAAAACCAACACGGCAATTTTCCGGTCCTGCGTATTTTGCACCTTTAAAAATCTATTCCTTTCTTTCCAGCCTTGGGGGAAATAAAAACTTACAACGAGGAGGATTTGCTTTGGTGAAGACAGCACAACTGACAGTGGGGCGATGACATTGGATGTGTCTGGGTTCATTTTTTTTAAACCCCGTTGCAACAATGGGTGAATTATCTATCGGTAGGCCTGTTTCCTACTTCCTTTGGGCTAATTTTCATTCAGGGTTTTCTTTGTTACCTGCTCAGCCTTTCCCCTTAAGAAGGGAAAACCGTGGTGTTTTTTTTTTTTTTTGGGAGAAACTCAACGGGATCAATTTCTGCTCTGAAACCATGATAGGTTGCCTATTTTACACCTTGAAAGAAGATTCTGGTGGTTGTAAGGGTTTCAGCAGGCACTCCAGCAAGGCAATGATTGCCAAGTGGTGTTCCATCCATCCCTCTCCTTGCTCCAGATAGAGAAGATTGCTGCCTTTGTCGGTCACACACCCTAAATTGTCTCTTTTCTCTCCTTTTTTCTTTCCTTTTCTTTCTCACATTTTTTCTTTCCTTTTTAAGACTGGACAAACCCTTCCTTANTCTTTCCTTCTCTTTCCTTTTTTCCTTCCATCCTTCCCTCCATCCCTTCTTTCCTTTTTGTCATCCCTCCCTCCCTCCTTCCCTTTCTGATTCTTCCTTCCTTCCCTCTCTTTTCTTTTTTCTCCTTCCTTCCTCCCTCCTTTCCTCATTCCTCCCTTCATATATGTTAGCATATATATATTGTGTTTTTCGAGAGATTCTCTCTCTCTGTGACGCTGCTCTGCTCCCTCTCCCACACAGAATAAGCTGCAGCAGCTGCGCCTGCAGGAGCTCCAACGCAACCAGCGGCTTCCACAGGTGGTGGAAGCCAAGGTGGAAGAGGAAGAGGAGGAGGAAGGGGAAGGGGAGGAGGAAGGCAACAGGGACTCCTCGGAAGCCAGTTCCCCTCCCACCCTCCGGAAAAGCACCAGCAGCTTGGACTCCCAGCAGTGGTGAGTCCCGGGGGGGCGGGGGGAGGGAGGTAAAAAGAGTCACTGGAGGTGACCCTCACCCAACTTGCAAGGTGACCCTCACCCAACTTCCTCTCTTGGTTTGCAGCCTCTCCGACGGGTCCACCGACACCATCTCGGTGATCGCGGCCGAAACCGGCGAGGAATTCCATTCGCCTTCCTTTGACGGCAGCCAGATCCTCCTCCCGCTGGAGGAATTGAGCACCGGCCCCCTCCCCAATCCCGTCACGCCCTCCTCAGAGATGGAAGACCCTCTCCCCGACACCCCCGGAGCCTTGTCGAAACCGGAACCCAGCCCCTGCAGCTGCTCGTCCTTCGACAGCGCCTACGGGACCCTCTCGCTCGGCTCGCTACACGAACTCGGGGAGCCGTCGCTGCCACAGGGGGATACGGCGGCTGAGGAGGAGGAGGAAGAGGAGGATGTCGCCAAGACGGGTTCCCCCAAGCTGCGTCGGCGGACGCCCGTCCAGCTCCTGCCCACCAAGACCAAGGTGCTGAAGTCCAAATCCGAAGCCAACCTTGCGCAGGTGTTATCGCCCTCGTTATTCCTCGTCCAGAGTCAAAGTTTGTCCGAACTTTCTCCGCCGGTCATGCTGTCCGGGAGTCCCTCCGTGCAGGAGCCCCAAGGCCAGATCCTCTGCAGGGTCTTTAGCAGCAGCAGCAATAACAGCAGCACTTCCGAACTCTCCGAAGCCGAGGAGACGTCATCGGCGGGAATCTGCGTCTCTCCGGGGTTGGCGGTCGCCGTCTCGAGCGGACCGCCGTCACCATGCTGGCCGGACGAGGAGAATCCGAGCGAGGAGCTGTCGGAGGAGCAGCAGGCATTTTCCGACCCGTCGGCAATTCAGCACCGGAAGTTGACTTTGGGCCAGCTGTACCGCCTCCACACCACGTTGCTGCTCAACTCCACGCTTACGGCCTCGTGAGTGTGGCTGGCGGGAGGGTGGCGGGTGGGAGTCCAGCTGAGAGGACACCTGAGCTGTCCTCTTGAAGGGGAGGGACGACAGGATGCTGAATTGTGGGGATTAAAATTCAGACACTCGTATTCAGATCAACGGTCTCATATTTATGACGGTCGCAGTGTTCCAGAGTCACGCAATCCCCTTTTGCCACCTCCTGACCAGCAACGTCAACGGGGAAGTCGGATTCACTTAACAACCGTGTGACTCGCTTAACAAAAGCAGGGGTTCCGTTAGTAGCGGTGGCAAGAAAGGTTGCAAAGTGGGCCAAACTCACTTAAGAACCGCCTTGCTCAACCACAGAAATTGGGGGTCACGTGACCAGTGAGATACGACAAGGGCCGTAAGTGTGAAAAGCGGTCATAAGTCCCTTCTGTGCCGAATGGTTGTAACGTCTTACTTTCTCGTCTCTTGCAGGGAGGTATGAGAAGCGCCGGAAGAAGAGAACCGAATGCAGGACAGAGGTCCGGTTCTGCGGTTGCACCCATCCCCCGCGGGCATCAAGACCACCCCGCCGCCCCAAGGGGGGTGGGCAGAAGGACAGAGCACAGCACCCCAAACGGGGACCACTTTTCTGCACGGGCGTGATCCCAATCGATGTGTTTGCGGCCGCTGTGCACCCTTGGCCCGAGGACAGGACCGACAAAGAAAAAGTGGGGGGGCAGGAGGGTAGGGCCCCCCAGAGTGCCCCCCCCAGCAACAACTTCCCAGGAACTTCAAATTTGAACCCCACGTTTTCCCTTTTGCACTGTTTCAATTCCTCCTGGTTCAATTCTCCTCTCTGGACACAAAGGATGGAGAAGGATAATTCAAGTGGAACTCCGTGCGATGCTTTGTCCGTTGTTTTTCTCCCTCGGCTCTTCCTCCCTCTAAATACGGCTCCCTCGTTACCCCAAATCTCCCCATATCAAGAATTGAGCCTTGTTACTCCCCTTTGGACGTGCGCCTCGCTGGCCATGGTCACCCCTCCCCAAATCCACTTTCCAGGCCACCTAAAATTTGCTCGTCCGTGCCACGCGCAGTGCTCAATCCTCAGAGCAACAAGAAGGGACTTTCCAGCCTCGATTATCCTGCCTGGACAATAGGTATGACACACACACACACCCTAATCCTGTTCCCGTAGCGGTACGGGGTCTCCCCATCGAGCAGGAGAAAAATAAAGACTCCACGTCAACAAAATAAACAAGTGTTGTTGTACAGAACAACGTAGAGGTCATCTAATCCGACCCCGGCATCCTGAGAGTGGGAGGGAAGGGGTTTGAGCCGAGGTTGGCTGTTTTTCGGGAAAGAAAGGAGAAAGAACCGGAAGGTCGGAGAAGGGAAACGAGAAAGATAACCAAAGTGATCCGAGGAACGAGAAAGCAAGACGGTGGCGGGAAGGATGAAGGTTTTGCAAGCTGGGCGTATTGGAAGAAGGAAAAACGGAACAGCGGCCTGTTTGAGTTAACGACAAAATCGACATTGAGGTCATCTTTGGGGACGTCCGTGCCCCCCTTGGGGACCTTCCAGTTTTGGGGTGATAATTGTCCCGGTTTTCATTCTATGGCTGACGTCTTCCGTGGACGAAAAACTAAATTGGGGCCCCGCTCGGACACTGGACCAAAGCCCACCCACAAATATATCGGCCGCTCGACATAACTCTGAAACGATGCATTTTGTCCCCTAGCAACCCCCCCCCTTTTTTTAAAAATCAGGGTGTGTTGCGTTTTGCGTTGGCTTATAACGCTTATTTATTGCGCTTGTATTCTCGCGGGCCCGCCCCCCACCAACCCCCCCGTTTCTCAATGGGGCAGGAGAAGGGGTGGTGTAACTAGTTCAGTTTCTTTCCGACCATGGCGTGCCATGGCATTTGTGGCTGCCCTCCCCATGGAGGCTGTGGGGAGGGGTCTTGATTTTGCAACCCTCCCCCCCTTTTTTTTGGCAAATGTGATTCGCTTGGCGTAATAATTGGTTCCCCCCATTAAAGGCCGATTAAATCTTGCCAATTTTATTTTCTGTCCTGGGGTGCAGTTGTGGAGGAGGGATTGGGGGGGGGGGAGGTTGTAGAAGGGTTTGGGCACGACAGCAAACCATCATTGCTTGCGGGGTTCGGGTAGGAAATCCAGCCCATGGCGGCTTGCTCAACAAACCAGGATTTGGATACGCAACACAATCAACTGATCTTCTCCTGATGGGGCCCTGCCTCTTTCCTTTAGTGGAATTCATTGCCAGAATTGCTGCTTTGGCAGTCCTTGACTTACGACCATCCGTTTAGTGACGGACGTTAC